GCCGTTCTCATGTATTAGACAGACTTGCTGCGCCTGGTTCCATACCACATTGGTTGGAATAGGATCATTGTCGTTCCAATGCGCGAGACTGGAGAGCACATATGATAGGCTGGGCGCATGGGGCACCAAGGAGTCAGGTCGACAGAAACAGATAACCCCATATGGCATCAGCACGAGGTCGGCGTTGGCGTCCATCGGGCGGCCGGCGCCAAAGGGGTATACAGCATAGCGCTGTTCCGGGTCGAGATCGGCCTTCCGAATCAGGTCAGCATACGAGATGCGTGAAGGCAGGTCGACAACATAGACCCTGCCATCTACTTCCCGCAAGTCGAAGACACACATAGGTTCGTCCTGTGCCCAAGCCGGCAATGCCACGACAGTACCCCAGTGTGCAGACAGTTGTTGCTTTGTCGGAACAAACTGGGAGAAGTGGTTAGAGAAATCGCCTTCCAGGGTTGTGGCAATCTCATTCAGTGCCGCCTGTATGGTGGCTGGCAACTGGAGTCGCACTGTGACACTCCGTGAGGCATGGTGGCGGGCAAGTACGAGGAAACGGGCAAGGTATGTCGGTACTGGATCAGAAGTCTCGGAGGTACCCGAGTGAGGGCTGTCCTGGTTTTGACCAAGGGGGACAGGATTGCCGGCAACCTGGCCCCTTGCTAGGCCAGGGATGTGGGTGGTCTGCATTGCTTGGACAGCCCGGCGAATGACCGAAGCGATAGCGACGGGCCATTGAAGAGGGCCCCGTGGTAGGGAGAGCGGCCCGCGACCGGCAGAATCCCTCCAGGTAACTTCGACAAGACAGCAGCCAAGCTCGACAGGCTCGGCAGTCGCAATGATGTTGAAGTCAAGAAATTGGCTAAGTTCGGGCGGCACCCCAACACATGACGCGAAGTCACCCAGGCAGTGCTCTGCAGCAGTCGTATAGAGAGGGCAAAGACCTGACCCGATGGGGCGTGCATCAAAGACAAGAGTAAAAGGGGGCTGACCAAACTTATCAAGGAGGCAAGAATCGGACGCCGCGACGACAAAAGAATGGCAGGGTTCCCCGGTGACTTCTAGATCAGAGAGGCCGGCGAGGGTTCGCAAGTGCAGGTCGTCCGCCACAACTCCTAGGAGTTGGCTGATCCTAGCCCTAGCGTCACAGCCCTCTAGGTGACGGCCAGCAAATGGATGAACTGTGTCTCGAAGGTGCACTGCATAGCCCGGCAGAAGAGACGTAGAAAAGACGTGATGCAGGTCAGCCCAAGGGGCATTGTTCTCAAAAAGCCGGCTAATATGCAGTGCGCGGCCTGGGTCAGCACCAACAGGAAGAACGACGATTACATCACCATGTTCCAAGGAAAAGGTTGTAGCCGGGAGGGCCTTCCTACGCTGGGGTCCTATCCAAAGATCCCATTCAGAGGACTCACCTCCTATGACACTGGCAACCTTTCTACAGAGGATGTCCCATGTGCACGTAGCTGGCAGCACATCGGCAAAGTAATGGCCGTGAACCCGAGTCAGATCCAAAATCACGGCACGCCGTTGGAGCTGCGTTAAACAGGCAGGGAATGCAATAAACATTGCAGTACCCTCATAACGCTGAGGTCGGAGAGGGGCAATGCCGCGCAAGTGTTGACGAAAGGTGATGTAATGCCTGGATGCCTGCTTCATCACCGAAACCAGGGTGGTGCTTGAACCAAGCCTGAGGCCAAAGGAGACTTTGCGGTAGCCTGGAGCAAAAACCTCAATCCCTAGCCAGGTATGTGGCGGAACATCAGCAAGGTGCCCACGAGGCAATGGTAACGGGATTGCGTCGATTCCATAAGGGGGAGTATAAGCTTGACGCTGATGACTCGGGGCTTCCTCGCACGGGGCGGGTGGTAGAGGTTCCGGAAGCCCCACAATGATGCGCTCAGCAGCAGCGAGCGCGGTGATAAGTCCAGGCGGAGCTGCCATGACTGGTTGTGGCATGCTGGAAAAGGCCAGGAGCCCAAGAAGTAGACGGCTGAATCGAGGGCCCCGGTGTCGTCCTGAGGGGCTCCTGATGTTGGCATGCCACGTCAAAACAGGGGAGCTGGTTCCTATATTGCCCAACGGAAGCAGTAAATCCTGGCATGGACTGAAGGACCCAATCAAAAGGATCCTGCCTAGAGGCGATTTGTGGAACCCAAGCTGGCGAAGGAGGAGCCGACAGAGGGCGATGTGTATCATGATGAGAACACAAATCATCACGGACACTGCCTGCACTGACCACCATGAAAGGCTAAGCCTCAGTGCATGATTCCAAATGCCTGTTGCAAAAGGGCCGGGATTAGGGACTAAACCCAAGGAGGGAAAAGAGGGCGCTATCACTGCTTCATAGGCTGGTATGAAAGGGGAGCTTCCAGCAGGTTGATACCCCAGAGCCACCGATGTATCTATTAGGCACCTGATGGAAGGCCCCATTGCTACACTGGATCGGGCGGAGCACAAAGAGCTCGACACCACTTGGCGGGGGCTACCATCCCATGCACAAATCCAGTGCATGAGAGGTGCCGAGGAAAACAAAAGTCCAGGCAGCGAAGGAGAAGGCCTGAGAGACCTGAAAGGGCTGGAGAAAGACCGTGAAGGTCCATAAAATTCCATTGGCACATCGCAAGTTCCCGCCCCTGAGCCACCGATGCGGGTATTTGGCACCTTGCGTAAAAGTATGAGCAGGTAGGAGGGCCAACGACCCAACCCCTGACAGTGATTGTACTGAGGCACAGAAATCGGAGAGTCCCCATGAGGAAATGCGGCACGGTTGCAATGGGGCTGGATCCAATAGCCTGGAAGAGGCTGCAAAACCGGACTCCATGTATGCACGCGGTGTTGGTCACAAGGTGTAGCCGACAAAACCCCATCGGCATCACCTCGGATAGAGGATGATAAGAATCCGGACGGAATCTTTGGCGCGGTAGCCTGAGGGACAGAGTCTGAAGAGGCCTGAGGGCAAGGACTGTGCGTATCGGGATGCTGCAGAAAAGGAGCGTCCGGCACATGAAAAACGGAACGCCCTAACACTACCATCTGTACATAGGCTGGCATCTCATCGGGTTGGTCCAACAGCGAATAGCGGTAGTGTGTCCAACCGCCGTCGCGCCCCTCCCAGCATAAATTCACGACGTGAATCATGGTGAGAAGGCGGTCAGGGAGGCTGTTGCACACCGCCCTTCGCTGGGGACCAGCCACTAAACTGTGTCTCCAGGAGGACGCCAGTGTGGCTGTTCCTCGTCCTCTGTGTCCTCGCCGTCGTCTGCAACGATCTGTACACGCTGGCCATGATTTCCGCCAGGAGGGACCGGCGGAAAGTTCTCCGATTCCTGTTTTGGTCCGCCTGCGCTTGCAGGCTTGGCGCCTCCGAATGGTTCGATAGCTCGCCTCCTGGATAACTTGTCCCTCAGGGAGGGACTCGGTCCATATTCCAGAGGCTCCGCGACTGTCGTCGCAGCCGGCATCACACCTGCAGCGCCTGGGGCGGCATCCGGGGCCGCGACAGGCACTGTCGCCATCATCTCCGTGGGGGCCGGCATTGGTGTGCCACCCATAGCAGCCACTGGCCCAACAGTGGGAGGCGCCGGCATTAGTCCGGGTGGAATAGAAGGAGTGGCCGGAGCTGTCCAGTAAGGATCTGTCGCTGTCATTGGCACCACAATCCGGTGTTCTTGCGGTATTGGAGTGCGTTGCATGGCCGTTGTCCTCCGCAGCGGCGTCGTAGGTGGTAGTCCTTGGCCTGCCATGGCTCTGCGCAAGACTTGGTCTGAAGTATCCTGGTCCTCGGAAGTCCAGGATTCGAAGGTTTTTTCCACATCCGCCATGTCCGCTCCCACATCGAGCTCCATGGCAGAGCCGTGTGGCTGCTCCGCTACGAAGGCGGCCCTTAGGCCGGCTCTTGCGAGCTCCTGAGCTTCTTCTGCGTCTTGAAGCTCCTTGTCCATGCGCTCTTGGTCCTTCGCGTAGCGTTGCCTTTCCCTTAATAGGGCATCCTTGAGCCGTTGCTCGTACTCTTTCATCTTCTTCTCTGCCTCCACCTGTGCCGTTCGTAGGCGAGTAACACGGTTCTCCGCCTTTCTGGTAGTGTTGAGCGCTGACTGGATGGAGGCCGTAGTAGATCCCGGTGTGTCTAGGTTGTTGCCAGTGCTCATTCCGCCAGAGGTGGCAGGGCGCATTGATGAGTACGAAGGGAAAGCATGCTGATCTCCACGGGTGTCCGACCGCCATGGTACCTTCCTCTCTCTCGGCAGCTGTGGCGAAAACGCACCAGGCCACACACGATAGCCAGGTCCTGTGCCGGACCATGCTTGGTTCTGACCGCGTCCCCGGCCCATATGAAATCCGCTTCTATCAGCTGCTAGAGTCCAGGCCCCGCAAGGGGGTGCAGAGTGGTGTTGTTGGAGGCGGTGAAGATCGCGTGCAGACGGCCGGCACTGGTATAGTGCGGCTTGCCTTGCTCGTCGTCGAGCGATAGAGCGCCGCTTACGCAGCCGTCTGTGCCAGCTCGGACTTCCGATCGCTATGGCGAACGATCGTGTGGCCACTGCCACACTGGGGCCCTAAGCAATCCCTGTCTACGGGTGTTCTCGAGCCCTCCAAAATANNACTATTGGTAATTATCCAGGCTCCTTCATATGGCTCCAGGGCTTGAAGATACTTGGAGCAAGTTTCTTTACGGCTTTGTAAGGTTCTTCGACGGGCTTTGGTAGGGTTTCAAGGGTGTCTAAGGAATCTTAGGGATTTACAGTTGTAGCGGCCTGTAGGACCTGCGTGAGGCTTTGTTGCGGTATATTCTCACATAGGGCTTAGGGTTTGGGGGCTATAAAGGAACATTATGACCTCGGGACCCGAAAATGAAGCCCCACACGCCCAACCGAACAAAAAAACAAAAAAAAACGACTAAAGCCCAAGCCCTGAAAAACAAAAAAACGACGAAAGCCCAAGCCCTAAAAACAAAAACAAAAGAAAGACAAAAGCCCAAACCCTGCTCGCCGCAGAGGCACCCAGTGTGTCGAGCTCCCTCCCATTCCTCAGCAAAACCATGCGAAGACCGCCGACTCCAGGCAGTGCCTGCACCTGGGTAGTTTAGGGTTTAGGGT